TACTTACCTGGGACTATGGGCACCTGCCACAGTGCCTTGCTAGGGGGTCTTGCTAGGATCACAGGTGTGAGACACAGGACCTGGCACAGAAGCTACTTTCAGTTTCTCCAAACTCTTAAGATTATTTGAGTGCCTGAGGCAGAGGAGAGAAGCGGGTGCTCGTGGGGACTTCCTTCAGCGATGCAACTCCTTTGCAAGTAAAGGATGAAGTTGCTGGGGCACCATATCCATAATTTAATTTTAACTTGATTGAAGATAGGTATTCTAGATCAGTTGTTTCAACCATGACAATTTCGCCCATGTACACCATCTTGTCCCCACCTTCCTTCTGTGGGTCATTGGCTGGATCTGCAGACATTCTGGCTGGACATTAATTGTGGGAGTTGCTTCTGGCAGCTGGTGAGTAGAGAGTGGGGGTCCTGCTCAGCATCCCGTATGCACAGGACATCCTACAATCCTCTCTTCCCCCCTTCCCATCCCTCCACAGCAGAGATTCATACTATCTGTAACATCAATAGTGTTGAGTTTAAGAAAAAGCTCTGGATCCCAAAGAATCACATAATTCGATCTTGGGTGTTTCTTTCTCACATCAATTGCTAATGTGACCATAGTTACCATTATTTTGGAAAATCTAAAAGGAGAGTATATTACATATCTTGATTAGTGATAGGTAGGGTTGTGTCTGGAACAATATTAAGGTTTATGTTTGTGTTTATTAGTTACTAAGATGTAAATATTTTTGAAGAATTATTTTTAAGGTTTAAGAAGGTTAAAGAGGTGAATTTTAGACTGGAGATTAGATAAACTTGCATTTGGATCTAAAGTGGAGCATGTGGGCTTGGTGCCCACAGCATAGTGGTTATGGTGCCAGCCACATGCACCAAGGCTGGCAGGTTCCAACCTGGCCTGGGCCAGCTAAACAACAATGATAACTGCAGCAAAAAAATAGCCAGGTGTTGTGGCGGGCGCCTGTAGTCCCAGCTACTTGGGAGGCTGAGGCAAGAGGATTGCTTAAGCCCAAGAGTTTGAGGTTGCTGTGAGCTATGATGCCATAGCACTCTACCATGGGTGACCAAGTGAGACTCTGTCTCAATAAATAAATAAATAAATAAATAAATAAATAAATATAAAGTGGAGCATGCAGATTTTGAAATGGATTTGTTTGATAGTCAGCGCTTGTTTTGCCTCAGCTTCAGAAAATACCCTAAGGCCTGGGAAAACAATGGTTTATTCACTTCCTACCAATCCTACCAGTCAAAGAAATTACTGAGCTGCCTTAAACATAAGTCTTTCTTTTTGCTCACCATTTTTAATACTGGCCTGTTTTCTGTCTTGCTACACATAACTCAAAATAGCTTCTTTACCAATTAAAGCAAATAGTTCTTTTTCTCTCAGGAGCTTTGATCCACAACGTTCTCCACAGCTCATGGTTACTTTAGTCAAGTGCACGTTATCACATAATTTCTCCATTATTAAACATTTAACACTATTAAATCTAAACGTTTAAGTAGTTGTATGAACTTAAGCCGTATTATTGTTTGAATAACTTATGTAAATACAGAGCATTTAAGCCTATTCATTTGCTTCTAAAGTAAAGCAGTTCATGTGTAATGATCCATTCTTTTAAAAGTGTGAGTTTATAATGCATTTATATTTGGTCAGCTTTTTTTCATATTTATTAAAATAACAGTAACTGAA